TTAGCTCTGCTGTGCAGTAATCTGCAAGAGACTGCCACTAAGCCAAATTCAAGTGCTTACAATGCTTGCATTTAGAAAAGTACATTTATGAAGGAATGATTACAGAGGTACATTGTGCCTTTTTATCTGCCTGAAGTTCAGCTTTAAGAGAGCATACTTAAATGTGGGGTTAAATGTATGGCTCTCCCTGAAAAGAATGTCAGTGTTTTTTTATATGGCATACCATGGGCCTGTGACTCAGAAGCACTGCTACTAAACACTGTCAGGAAAGTAGCATTTTCAGAACAATTCCTGGCAGTGAGGAATGTGCATGCCCCTATTACAACATACAATGGCTCAGGCTTGGTAAACTCAGACATTCCCACACAGAGTGCAGCAGCATGCTGAAGCTGGCCATGGATGGGTAGAATGTCTAACAAAAATCTTAGGAAAAAAATGTTCTAGGAAAAATTGTTAATTTTCTAACCCCTAGTGGATCAAATTGATGTTCATTTTCAACTTCGGTGACAATATGAAGGAGCAGGATAGAAGAGGTTTCACAAATAGTCGAATTTCTAACATTGTTGTTGGCTTTCATCTGGTAATGTCCATTAATTCTAATATTAAATGTTAAAAGCAAACAAAACCTTTCAAATGACATTTAAATGTTCTGAAAATTTTCGTAAACATTTTCCTAAGAATTTTTGTTCAAAATCCTACACCTCTATGGCCAGCTTCATAGCTTATATAATTGTAAAGTGTTACATTGTGTACTACTGTAGTAATCTTCTCCTCGTGTCTAAAAAGACAGAGTTGCCATTTAAATCATGCAAGATATTGTATTGTCTTACTCCAGCAAGTAATGTAACTAACCCCTAACAGCATTACAGTTACCAGGCTCCTCTGATGGCAAGGTGTGTTGCGGTGCCTTTTAGAATGAAAAGCCCCGCACTGCACCATTGCAAGCAGTGTGCAGTGCACCCGTTCTGGTAATGTACACGGGAATGTGCATTCCTACAATGCAATAACGTGAATGGGGATTCCTTCACTTTCTGTCTTGTAAAAAGGTTGTCCCCAATATAAGAAGCATAGGGAAACCTACCAGAGGTTCTAACTTTTCTCCATTCTTTTTCCATGTAAGCAAATTAATTCGAATTTAAAATCTCTCATTTCTGTGTTAAGGTTTACTTCCACTAGTTGGAGCTAGAGACCACTCATCTGATAAATGTGCAACAGTTGAAGAATGAAGGCTGAGGATCCAATGCCGTTGAAACCATTTAGCAATATGTCATGGTTTTCAAGCAAATTTAAAACCTTCTTTCCTGGAGAACATCATGTCAACCTACTCATGGGTCAACTCTGCCACACAACCTCACAGGACAACCCCCTGCAAAGAGATAAAACATAGCACTACTGTTTTGTCCTCACTCCAGGACAGTGCCTAGCAGATTCATCTATCAGAAATAGCTCCTGTGCCCATCCTGGTTCTACTCCACCATATTCAGTATATTCCCCAGCCAGAGGTAAATCCTGCATTTGGAAGGGCCCTTGGTGCCTGGGTGTGATATTATTGCAGCCTAAATGGCAACCCTGGCTCTGCCCAGAACTGTAAAGGCGGTGGTTGTATGTGTATGGGTATCTGACATTACTTTCCCTGTCTTATGGAACTGGAGGGAACATAGCTGAAAACTGGAAGTCATCCTCCTGTTAGTCCTGCCTTCAGGGCCTTAAAGAGACAGTCAGAAGCAGGTAGAAATACTGTTTTTTGCAGTTTGGGACAGACCTAGTGTTCTACTATAAGGTGAGGGCAAATCTGGGGATGCTTAGGACATTGTGGCAGGCAGGCTCATCCTACCCTGAGCTCCTTATAGGTACTACAAGTGTGCCCACACCGGAACCTGAGGCAGGAAGAGCAAGTGGATCCAGGTATGGAACTGTGGAAGGTTTCGCTTCAAGGCTATGGAGGAATTTAAAAGAGTGCTATTGGACTTTGCTTGCAAGGGGATTGACCCGAATGGAGGATAGCGCAAGGTCCACAAAGACCTTGCAAGGCTTTCCAGCCTATGGCTTCTCATCCCATCACAGAAGCCGCAAGTCAACTCAACCTAGCAGGGAGAAATCTCCTACACCTTCTCTTTATACTCACAGGGCTTCAAGGCATTCTTCTACGAGTGTAATTGTTGGGCTTGTGGTTTTCCCACCATGCCTTCTAAACTTGTCTGTGAAGACAGTTTATAGAGGCTGTTAGAGACAGGCAGGCAGAGTCGCTGAGGGTCAAGGAATATATCTGCCTGCTGTGGAAGAGAGTGTTCAAGAGATTTCAAATGCAAGACCCAGCACTTCACGAGCAGTCCAGGACCCTGCGCCCTTTTCCGAGTTAGAGCAAGCAAATTCCTCTTTCAATTCTGGGGATCTTTTGAATTCACTGCTATGTCACAATTTGTCACTGCTGTCAAACAGGGGATTGATTGGGAGGAGAAGCCATAATGGCCTCCTCAAAAGGTTAGGAAGTATTTTCCCAATCCGAAAAAAGTTGTACCAATTTTTCCAATTATGTTTGAGATCAAAGGAGTTGATTGAAGAGGAATGGGTGAAACCATACAAGGTTAGTCTGCAGAATCGGCTAGCTAAACTTTGTCCTTTTCCCGGACTAATCAGCTGCATGGGATAATGCGTCCAGAGTTGATGCCACATTGCAGAGACTTGCTTGTCACGTAGCCTTGCCCCTAGATGGCTTCATAGCCTTTAGGGATGTTGTAGATAGGCTAGATATGGAGTTAAAGAGGATCTATCTGGAGCATGTAGACCAGCAGTAGCCTTGACCTTGGTAGCCAGAGCCATGAGAGCTTGGGTAGTCTCCAGCGGTTCGTCAGCTGGTCAGGGAGCAGACTTGTCACTGGAGGAGCTGAAGTAGGCAGCTGATTTTGTGGCCAAGGCAGCGGTGGTTCTGGTCCGGTTGTCTGCTTGGATAATGGCGCAGTTGGTGGAACTCAAAAGGGCCTTGTGGATGAAACATTGGATGGCGGATTCTATTTCTAAACAGGGTCTCTGCTCGGTAACCTATTTGGGAAAGATTTTTTTTTTTTTTGGCAAGACCCTGGATGAGACTATTTATCACGCTACTGGTGGCAAGTCGGACCTCATTGCATAGGAAAGGAAGAGAAAACAACAGCACTTTCGTCCAACAGCAAGGTCTACAGATCGTATATGGGAGTCTCAAACCTACAGACCTGGAAGAGAATACCTTTGGCAGCCCTGGAAGGGGGCTCAGATTTCTATTAAGGATAAAAAATCTAAGCCCAGCTAGGGGTCCAAGCCAACAGTCAGATCTTTCTGAAGGTCTGCCTGCCCAGACTGCAGGCGGAAGCAAGGCAATCCCTCTTTTCCGGGGTCTGGGTGGAGCACATTCATGATTCTTGGGTGATTTCAGTAGTGAAGAGAGGATACCAGTTGAAGTTGTTAGATGCCCCCCTTACCCCATTTCATCCAGACTCATGTATCGTATTCAAGGGAAAGAAGGCTTGCTCTGAAGGAATATGTACAAGAGCTATTAGATGCCAATGTAGTAGTTCCAGTTGCCAAAGCTCAACAAAGGCAAGGGGGTCGATTTCCCAATTTTGTCTCAGGCTAAAATTGGAGCTGCAGTTTAATAACTCCTTCATCAGGCCAGTAAAGTTTCAGATCACTGTGATTCTGCCCGCAATTCCAAACTGCACTGCAATCGTGGTAAAACACACCACTTGGGCTTGGGTGCCATTCATTCTTAATGGCACCTCAAACCCGGTGCGATTTTGCCGCAATTGTCTTCTGCTCCTTTTTGGTCAACAAGCTTCGCTTGCATTTTGCCACAATTGCAGCACAATTCTATCACATGGCAAAACTGTATCACAGGTGAGGTGCTGTTAAAAACGATTGGAACCCAAACTCACGTGGTGCATCTTGCCATGATTGCAGTGGGACTTGCCAAGATTAAGGGGGAATCACCCACAATTCAAAATCGCGAAGTGTAATGGTGGCCTCAAGTATGGCACATTCTGAAACAATGGCCCTTACAGTAATCCTAACCCAAGAGAAGTGGGGCTGCCGTTTCTGTCACATTATGAAAATTCTAGTTTTCTGGCTTTTATGTTGACCTTCTGGTTTCAACACTAAGATACTTGGGCAGCCCAGTGGCTAAATGGTTGGCACTTTCACCTGGCAGTACTAAGGTCGTTGGTTCGAATCCCAACCACAACACCACCTGCCTGGAGTTTGCATGTTCTACCTATACCTGCATGGGTTTCCTCTGGTTACTCCGGTTTCCCTCCACACACCAAAGACATGCTGGTAGGTTAATTGGATCCTGTCTAAATGAATGTAAGAAGGGACCATAGATTGTATGCCCCTTGAGGGTTAGGGACTGATGTGAATGTACAATATATATGTAAAGCACTGCGTAAATTGAGGCACTATATAAGTACCTGAAATAAATAAAATAAAAATACTTACCTAAATAAGCATGCATAATAAAAAAAGTCAGAAGTCCTTATCTACATAATTGCTCTGGGTTAGTGGGCCACTGAGGCCAGCATAACAAGCCAAGCAGCATTTGCAGACCAATCCTAGGTATACACAGGGAGTTTTTTTTTTTTCGTTCAACCCAGTGGGCTGAATGAAAAAAAACTGAGAGGTTGCTGCCAGCACTGATCAGATGCTGGTTTTCCAGCATGCCTGTTTAATAAAAAGGCTGCTGTACACAGTGTACAAATGTCAGCCTGTTTCTGTTGAATCTGTGTGTACTAGCCTTAAGAATCCAACAATTGCTGACTCCATTTCTCTCTCAGGAAAGGTTTCCTTTAATAGAATCACACCTAAAATGCAGCAGTGTGCAGTACTGGAGGTTTGTGAAAAGATGACTAATTGTGAGAATCTGTTAATACTTGAATACATATTGAGAAGCAGCAGTGTTCCTTGGATTGGAATGTACAATGTGAAATGGAGGCACAGGTGGTATTTTCAAACAAGAACATAAGAAAACTCACCCTCTTTGAAATAAATCCACATTGTAAAATTTCTGCAGCTCCACTGAAAATTCCACCGTGGCCTGAATATCACTCATTTTGATTGCAGATTCAGACACCAAAATACACTAGTTACTAAAAAAGAAAAACATCAGATTAACCAACTACCTAAAGGCTCAAAGACATCAAACAAGGAACTTTAAGGACTTTATGAATTAGCGCACACAGCAGTGGTCTATACCTACAGGAATCAAATCAGAAGCCTTTTTTTGTCTTTTTTTTTTACTAATAACAATTTTTATTGGTTTTCATGCAAGTACAAACAGTACAGTAAAAGAGTATATGGAAAGAAAATAAACATAACAGAGATATACATCGATGGCAAAACTACAAAGGGTCAGGATCAGTTGAATCATATAATAACAGTGTGGAAATTATCAGGGCCTTTTATTTTAGGTCGGCATAGAGGAAGTGAAGGTATCCCACGGGCACCAAATCATCTCAAACACAGCAAACGAACAACCATGTAATGCAGTCAAATATTCCATCTGTCTTACATCAGCAATAATTTTGTACAAAGTCTGCAATGAAGGGGGAGTAGAAGATAACCAACACATAGGAATGCTTCTCCTGGCTGCGGTCAGAACATGTACAGCAAGTTTTCTGGATGGTTTAGGTAGACCCGGGAATGGTAAACCCAGCAAAAAATGTAATGGGTCAAGTGGGAGAGAGATATGTAACAACGATTGCAACAAGGAGCGGACCTCTTCCCAAAAAGGAATAATGGAGCTGCATGTCCAAAAAATATGATAGAGAGAACCCAGGTCTCTACTACAGCGCCAGCAGGCAGGAGAAGCACTCGGATTATAAGCATGGAGAACTTCAGGTGTTTTGTACCATAACATCATGATCTTGTATATATTTTCCTTAAAAACCACACAGACAGAAGATCTAGATGCATTTTCCCAAATTTTCTTCCACGTTAATAAATCAATATCACATTGTACAAATTGAGACCACCTACGCATGTAGAGGTGAGTGTCATTGGCTAAAGGGGGGGCATCCATAAGAAGCTTATGAGTATTAGAGATAATACCCCTTTGATGGGGACCCTGCATACATAAACGTTCGAAGGGAGTAGGCTTCCCCAGAATCAATAAGGGTGATAAGGTAGAAAAAAAGTGGCGTATTTGAAGGTAAATATAAAAATGTTGGGGAGGTAAAAGAGCTTTTTTCTGAAGATCCGGGAATGAGTATAACTTACGAGTCACCGGGTGAATCAAGTGACGCAGTTGAAAAAGGTCAGCTACTACCCAGAGGGACATCCGGGATATGGCCATATTGTCTGGAAGGTTAGGATTATAGAGATATTTGTCAGTGGGGAGCAGTCAGAGGCCAGTGAAAATTTAGCCTTACATTTCTGCCAAACAGTCATAGAAAAGTGCATGGGACCAAGGAATAGGTGGCGGAAGGATGAGACATCCACTGCTGAGGAGGTCGACCAAAGGAGGGAGCATGGATGAGTTGGGGACAGTTGCAAAGATTCGATCTCAGTCCAAGTGTTGGGAGGATGATGGGTAGACCATGACAAGAGAAAACGAAGGCGAGTTGCATAATAGTATGTTATTATATCCGGCACCCCCAATCCCCCCCCTAGTGCGCGGACAGAGCAAAACAGAACGTGCAATCCTGTGCCGCTTGTTATGCCAAATGAAATGCAAGAAAGATTTTTGAAGGGAGTGCAGTTTGGACATAGGAACTGGGATGGGGAGGGTTGCAAACAAATATAAATAAATATAAATAGTTTTGGTAACACGGTCATTTTTAATACGTTAATGCGTCCGAGAAAAGAGATGGGCAGGGCATCCCAGTGTTTCAGAGAGCGAGAAATTGCTATAAATAGTGGAGGGAAATTGGCTTCATATATGGATTGGTAAGAGGAAGTAAGATTAGTACTTAAATATTTTAAAGAATGGGTGCACCACCGGTAGGGAAAGGCTTCCTGAAGTGAAGATAAAATGGCAGGTGGGACATGTATTGGGAGTGCCTCAGTTTTGGACCTGTTGACTTTGTAGCCTGATATAGCCCCAAATTGTTGCAGGGTCTTATGCAAAATTGGTAAGGAGGTATGGGGACACGTAAGTGTAAGGAGGATGTCATCAGCAAACAGCGATAATTTGTACTCATGGGAATGGGATTGTATCCCGCGAATATCTGGATTCGACCTGATGGCGATAGCTAGTGGTTCCAGACAAAGAATGAACAGCAAAGGAGAGAGTGGGCAACCCGGACGTGTGCCATTTGACATCCGAAAGGGGAGTGAAAGAAAAGAAGCTAATCTGACCTGCGAAAAGGGGGACGAATAAAGGGCCTTCAAGGCTGCTACAAATGGGCCCCTAAAACCAAATTTCTCCAAGACCCTGAACATGTAAGGCCAACTTAAACGGTCGAAAGCATTTTGAGCATCCAAGCTCAATAACACAGTAGGGGTGGAGGATCGATTAACCAAGTCAATCAGATCAATGGATCTCCTGGTGTTATCTGCAGCATGTCTGGCAGGTACAAAGCCCACTTGGTCCCTATGTATGAGTTTGGAAATAATTCCGGACAATCGATTGGCCAAAATTTTAGTGAAAATCTTGTAGTCGGAATTGAGTAGGGCAATGGGGCGGTAGTTGTCCACAATAGAATGATCTTTATCGGGTTAGGGATAACCGAGATATATGCCCGGGAGAAATCAGTCTGGGGTGTGATCCCCTTGAAAAGATCTCGATAAAAAGAGAGGAGATGAGGGGCCAGGATACCAATAAAGGATTTATAGTAGGAGTAAGGCAGTCCGTCCGGACCCGGGGCTTTACGAGAGGGGAGATGTTTAATTGTGTCCAATAATTCCTCTAGCGTAATATCAGCATTAAGGGTAGCAATGTCTGAGGATGATAGTCTCGGAAGTGACAGGGGGTCAAAAAAACGATCAAACGATGACTGTGTGAGGGGTGGATGAAGATCTGGGGACAGACAATTATACAGTTTCTCATAAAATGAGCCAAAAAGGGTTGCCATGACCCGGGGTCATAGGTAGGGTTTCCATTTGGTTGCATTAAAAGATCAGGTAACGCAGAACACGACTGAGCTTTGAGTCGATTGACCAACATACGATGGGGCTTGTTAGAAAATTCGTAAAATTTCTGCTTAATCCACAAGAGGGATTGTGCAGTCTATTGGAGTCGAGAACTTTAATTTGGTCCCGTAGAGATGTTACCCTCCGGAGTCCAGAAATGGACGGCCTGGCCAACAACCGTCGCTCCGCCAAAACCAGTTGATGTACGAGAGAGGCTCTAGCACTCGCCGAAGACTTTTTTAAACGAGAACCCCATAGAAATACAGAATCCTCGAAAGACTGCCTTGTGGGCCTCCCACAGAGTTGAGGAAGAGCCTACGGAGCCAACATTGTGGGCAAAATAGGTGTCAAGTCCCTGGGACAACTCATCTCTAAGATGATCTGTGGAAAGAAAAGTCTCATTAAGGCGCCAATGACATGGTTTGAGTATGACAGGAGGAAATAAAAGGTTTAAAGTCAGAGAGGCATGGTCAGACCAAGTGATGGGATTGATTTCGGAAGAAACCAGGAGCGGTAGCAGTGGGGCAGAGATAAAAAAGTGATCTAGGCGGGAGAAACTACGGTGAGGGGTGGAGTAGAAAGTGAATTGTTTATGGAGGGGATGTTTAATCCGCCAAGCGTCAAAGAGACGATGTTCCCTTATCAATCTACGAAAAGATTTTGAAGAGGAGCATTGCCGCTTCGAGGGGGTGGACTCAAAAAGGGACTTCCTGTCTTTATGGGGGGAAAAAAATCAAATTGAAATCCCCTCCAACAATCACCTGCGAAGTGGAGATGGAATCTAGGTTAGCGAGTGTTTGGGAAAGGAATTGCAATTGACCCGTATTTGGGGCGTATAAATTCAACAAAACAAGGGGAGTGTCACCAAGCATACAGTTCAAAATAATGAAGCGACCCTGGTGGTCAACCTTGGAGGAAAACAACCCGAAGGGAGCAGTGTGACCCAATCAAAATTGCCACCCAGGCCTTCCCGGAGGATTAAAGGCTGAATAAGATTGGGAAAAAAATCTCGAGGCAAAACGAAAAGAGCCAGTTGATTTGAAATGGGTCTCTTGTACAAAAATAATGTCTGCTCCTGAGGATCGAAATTCCCTCAAAGCCATCCACCGTTTTTGAATGGAGTTAAGGCCCTTGACATTGTATGACAAAAACCTCAAAGCCATTATAAAATAACAACGATTGAAGTACTTGTAGTAGAATGAAAAATGATTGAAATACCATCGATGTAGAAGAATAAAAAAAAAAAAATCATAAAACAATCAAATAACACAAAAAAAAAGAAAAACATAATAAAAAACAGATATCCACAAGGATATAAACTTGGGAACGTCAACTAAGCCCAAGTCGTCTAGGCCAGTGGCTAGACAAAATCGGGGGCAGCACGACATCCGACTCAACAGGGGGGTCACCCAACCCGGCCAGAAGAAACAAAAGCAAAAAGAGCACCCAGCAAGGGTTTGGCCAGTCAGGAGAACAAAACTGGTATAGAACCCATGTATAGAGCAGGGGAGAGGGATCAACACCATATTCACCACAGATGATCACCCCAGAGAATCATCAGGCAGGCGGATCTCCTGGTCGAGAGGAACGTGGACGTTGCGGGGTGCGCAAGAGTCTCTTCCGATCTCTGCGGACCGGTGTCCAGATCTTGTTGGGAGTGATGGAGGGACGAGAAGGAGTAGGAGGTAATGAGGACACATCATCCGACAGAGGAGGAAGACCCAGCTGTTTTAGAAAAAAGTCCGCCTCATGAAGATCCCGGAGAACAACTTGGGTATTATCCTTAGAGACAACCAGCTTGAAGGGAAACCCCCAACGATACAGGACTCGGTGTTGCTGGAGGTGTGTGGTGCTCGGCTTCAGAGCACGCCGTTTGGCAAGAGTAATCGGAGAAAGGTCGCAGAAGAGCTGGAGTCTGTCACCTTTGAATTCCAAAGAAGATGTTTGTCGAGCCGCTAATAGTAAGGCTTCTTTGCTTTG